ACTTCGAAGAGAAGTAAATATTTTGCATCTTTTTTTTTTTTTTTGAGTTGGAGTCTCACTCTGTTGCCCAGGCTGGAATGCAGTGGCACACTCATGGTCACCACAGACTCGACCTGCTGGGCTCAGGCAATCCTTCTGCCTCAGCCTTCCAAGTAGCTGGAACTACAGGCACGCGCCACCACTCCCGACTAATTTTTTAATTTTATTGTAGAGATGAGGTCTCGCCAAGTTGCCCAGGCTGATCTCGAAGCTGTGGACTCAGGCAATCCTCTCACCTCGGCCTCCCAAAGTGCTGGGATTATAGGTGTGAACCACCGCGGCCGGACATATTTTGCATCTTTGGACATGATTCTGTAGTTTTTTTGAGTGACCACAATCTGGATGTTCTCCATTTCAGTCGGATACATCCCGATACTAAAAGACCTCCTGCATTCGTCAAGCTGTCAGGGTGCCTGTCCACACCTCTTTAATCCACAATTCTGAAATCCGAAAGACACTGAAAGAAAATGATTTTTAAAGAACATTTTTTTTTTAAGAGGGGAGGGGAGTCAGTTGCAGTGGTTCACACCTGTAATCCCAGCACTTTGGGAGGCTTAGGCGGGAGGACTTCTTGTGTCCAGGAGTTTGAGACCAGCCTGGGCAACATAGCGAGACTTTATCTCTACAAAAAATTAAAAAGAATTGGCTGGTTGTGGTGGTGTGAGCCTGTAGTCTCAGCTACTCTGGTAACTGAGGCAGAAGGATAGCCTGAACTCAGGAGGTTGAGGCTGCAGTGAGCCGTAATTGTGCCACTGCCCTCCAGCCTGGGCGACAGAGTGAGACCCCAACTCAAAAAAACAAAACAAACAAACAAAACTCCAACAAGCCTGACTGGAAGCTATTTATAGGCTATATTCATCCCACTTTGTGTGAATATTCAGGTATTTTTCTGCAGCAATGTCTTATTTGAATAAAGGTTTCTTCCTCAGTGTTCACTGAGGTTTTACCCTCAAATAAGTAATCTCAAAAAAGAAAAAACCCTGCAATCAAAAACATATCTGACCCTAAGTGTAGCAGACCATTGTCCAAGCCCAGTATAAGGCTAATAATAATAATAGTAATTGTAAATCACAGATCATATTCTTGTTTTGTGACATAGTTTTGGTGCCACAGATAGTGCCACTTTTGATTATAGAATTTCTGTATTAACATTTTTTTAATCCAATACCCCACATCTTTTATATATATATATATATATATATATATATATATATATATATATATTTAAATTTTAAAAAGGCCGGGTGCAGTGGCTCACGCCTGTAATCCCAGCACTTTGGGAGGCCGAGGTGAGAGGAACTGGCCAAGCCCACAGGTTCGAGACCAGCCTGGGCAACTTGGTGAGACCTCATCTCTACAATAAATCAAAAAATTAGCTAGGCATGGTGGTGCGTGCCTGTAGTTCCAGCTACTTGGAAGGCTGAAGTGGAAGGATCCTCCAAGCCCAGCGGTCGAGGCTGGGGTGGCCATGAGCGTGTCACTGCACTCCAGCCTGGGCGACAGAGTGAGACTCCAACTCAAAATAATAATAATAAAATAAATAAAAAGAGAAGTTCTGCGTTAACACTGCACCTTGGCCAGTCTAGATTACAGGTATTTCTAAAGTTTTTCCAAAGACCTAAAAATAGAGGCCACCAAGATTGTCCCCATCTTTTTCCCTTGTAAGGAAAATACTCAAGATCATGTTGTAGCCATCCTGGAACTTTGTGACATTTTTTGGCAGTCCTACTTGAAGTATTTAATAGAGTCATCAGAACACAGGAAATTAAATTAGAAGGCTTTTCTCTTACATATGTATCAGGTTAGAATTTTCTGGGATAACATTTTATCAGTTTTAATATGTCTTTGTGATGTGAACTGGAGCCAATCTATCAAAACATTTTATTCAAAAGTGTACTCTCAACAAATTGTCTTGAAAACCCTGACTGTCGAGTTGAATTCTTGCAAGACTTTTCTTCCACAAATAAAATTACTTGGATAAGTTTTCTCCTTCGTTTGTGTGGAGCATTTTGTAAGTTTTACCTTTGCCCACTCAGAACACCCGAGTCAGGCAGATTCTGCTACAAAGGTGTTCATTGTTTTTTTCCCCCCACAAAGAAACAGTTTAAAGCAAAACCAGTCTATTCCTTTGTGGTTTTAAATGCCCCCGATCATTCCACTGTGAAAGTCATAGCACTGTCATGATCTTCCCGGACTGTTGTGTGAATTAGAGATGATTTTTACAAGTGCCAAAGCATGAGAGAGCCCTGAGCAAACAGCGGCATATGGGTACCCTCATGTGTCTTCCCCTAGAAGGGGGGTTGGGCAATATGAATCTTTCCATCTAGAAAAAGAGCAAGGCTCATCTTCACTTATTCTGTAAACTTCATGGAGTCAAGATGTAGGAGATGGAGAACTAGAATCTCCCTTCCACCAGGCAGAAGTAGGAAACAGAGGAAGACACTAACTGGGGAGGTGTGATCCTCTGAGATGCTCTTGGCTGAGAAGGCAGGAAAGTCCACAAACTGGTTGCGGAACCTGGCAGTTTTCTTTCTTTTTCTTTAATAAAGATGTGGGGTACAATTCAGGGTGAGGTATACAAACGTTGATTATGCAGTTACCCTTGTTGATGAGGTGGGTCCCTCCCTCCCCTGGCAGTTTCCCACTGCCAATCCCTTTCTTATAGTATTATGATCATTGTTCAAGGTCTGCTTATGAGTGAGAACATGTGAGATTCAGTTGTTTCTGTGGTAGATCACTGAGTATCTTCGACTCTAAATCCATCCACGTTGCTGCGAAGTCCATGTTTCTCCTTCTTTATGGCTGCATAATATTCCATTGTGTATATGCACCACATTTTTAAAATCCAGTCCAGCTTCAACGGAACCTGACAGTTTTCATCAGGAAAGCTGGGGAACCGAGCGGAGGAGCAGCTTGACCACTTGATTTGGTTCAACTACCAGAAGCTGGGGTTGCAGGACCGAGTGCCCTCCAGCAGCCACTGCCCCTGGAGGAAGTCTCTTCAGAGCAAGGGGAAGAATAAAGAGAAAGCAGGTCCCACAGGCCGACTTGGAAACCAGCGAGTTTATGCTTGTCTCAGTGCCCTTCATCTATTAACTAAGCAGAGAAAAAGAGTCCCTCCTTTTATTAACCTTGTTATTTCTCTTGGGACAGGACTGCTGGCCTTTGTGGCAGCATAATTCCCCTAGAAGGGGGCTTGGGCAGTATGCTTTTTCTTTTTCGAGTTGGAGTCTCACTCTGTCGCCCAGACTGGAGTGCAGTGGCATGCTCACGGCCACCTCAGCCTTCCAACCAACCAGAACTATGGGCATGTGCACCATGCCCAGCTAATTTTTGATTTATTGTAGAGACGAGATCTCACCGTGTTGCCCACGCTGGTCTTGAACCCACAGGCTTAGGCAGTCCTCTTGCCTCGGCCTCCCAAAGTGCTGGGATTATAGGCTTGAGCCACTGCTCCGGGCCTGTTTTTTCAGTGGCTCATCATAAGTACTTTCTGCAACGGGATTCTGCAGCACACAGGGAGGCATGATTGGGGGAGTGACAGAAGAGTGGTCCCTCACACAAAGGACACCGGTATCAAGACCGTCAGTCTTCTTTGGGTTCGGCGAACTTCGTGTTCACCAACAAGTCACATTTTCTCCTTTTCTCTTCTCTACTCCCAACTCTCCCCTGGGAAATGCAACCATCTAGAGAAAGAGAAGGCTGGGCCTCTTTTCTGCAGAAAATTTTGCAATATGGGTCAGACCACAGGGAGTGGCTCTCAACCCTTTGGATATCTTATATTCCCCCAGGAAGCTTTTAGAGTGGACTGATTTGCATCTTCCAAGGCACAACAGCAAAGCCAGACTCTTGGGGGTGGGGAGTGTGTACTCTGTCATTCAAGTTCTCTCTCATAGCCTGGGTGTGGTGATTAAGAGCCATTCTGCACATCACTGGAGACCCTAAGATGATACCGTCAGCTACTCAGCCCCTCATGACGCCTGCCAGTCATTTGCAGGCTGGAATCCTACAGCCAAGGAAAGAGATCGTGCTTGCTGTTCATAGAAGGAATGTGTGGCTTCACAGCACATGCTGGAAGCAGGGGACAAGGCCTGTGCTGACGAAGGGGCCATTTGAAGATCACGTACTTGACTGAGAGGGGAAGTCAAATGGAAAACGGCAAAAGGAAGTAGAATTGAGAGAAGCAAAACAGGGTAAGATAAATTTAGAAATGGTTTAGAGACTTCTTTTTGTCTTAGGGATTCTTCTTCTTCTTCTTTTTTTTTTTGTCTTTAATTGAGATGGGAGTCTTGCTGCTTGCTGTGTTGTCCAGGCTAGTCTCAAACTCCTGACCTCAAGCGATCCTCCCACCTCAGCCTCCCTATGTGCTGGGATTATAGGTGTAAACCACCGCATCCAGCCAGGATTCTTTCTTTACACTTTCTCTCCATGTAACATATTGGGTGATATGTGTGGTTCTGAAATAAAACATGAAGGGAGGGTGTACGTAGAAAACTTACCATCATGAATCAAATGACCAGCTGTGCAAACATGATATGATGATAATATTCTATCTTTGTGAACAAGGCACTTGTGAATCAAGAATTTTAGAACATTTTAGAAAGGGCATTAAAAAAAAAATCACACAGGAAAAAAGTTAAAAGTTAGAGAAAAGTAGAATATTTCATCCCTTACCCTAAGCACCTGAAGCCTAAACAAAGCATACAAAGTGAGAATTTAATGGTGCCTACTAAGCCTATCTGAAAGCAGATTCCATCTGGCCCCCACAAAGGATGTTCAGGTGTCAAGGTCATCAACGCCTCAGTCTCCAACCTGAAATGCTCAAAGGAAGGAGATTGAACTCGCACAAGTTTCAAGTATGTAGCCCTATGGAATCACGTCACATCACCCTCCTGACAGTTGGTTCTCATTTTTACATTGACAACAGCTGAAAATGTAAACACAAGTAAAAAGCTTGAGACGTTATTGGGCCAGGTGTATTAAAATAAAATCAAAAAATAGAAATATTAGGTATATATACAACAGCATCAGTGAAACATGATGTAATATAGCAGTTTCCATTCGAAGCTTACAGTAGAAAACTTGAGTAAACAAAACCTCTGGAATCTCTGGCCACCGCTCATGAGAGCCTCTGTGGTTATTTATTTTCCTTCATGTCCTTGGGCATAAATAGTCTCACACACATCATATACCACTTAGAAAAGATTGCAGAATCACAAAAATAGCCCCAAATAACGGCATTTTAACTTTCTAGAGGGCAACTAAAATTCATATTTGATCCTTAAAATAATGTTCAAATCTTTTGAAGCAACAAAAGAAATTCTTATGTTTTACAAGACCTCATATGGCTCTGCTGAGATTAGAATCTTACTGTTCTTCCAAACTACATTGTCAAAAAAAGTCTATGTATAGGAAACTGTGGGAATGAAAAGCCGGATCATTAAAAATGTTTCTTCTTGAGGTACAAAGGCTCTTCGCCCTTTCCTGGGAGGTCCGGGTGAGCGCGGGGCAGCCGGGGTTCAGATCACACAGCACGGCAGCTGGAAGTGCTCATGGCGTGATCACACGCCTGCCGGCGGAGAGAGATGTATGTCCCACTGCTGTGTGCCTAGGGGGTCTGAGCGGTGTTCACGGAAGGGAAACGTCTACCAATCTCAGATTTCAGGCCGTGGGGGAAAAAAAATCATTGAAATCCAGGAAAAACATTATTAAGCTGCTGATTTCACCTGCAAAATCTAACAGGTTGGGTTAGTAATTTTTAAAAATAAAAGTAAGACAAAGCATAGAAGAAAATACAAAGAAATGTCACGCTATGCGTCTGGTCGTTTTAGCTTTATAAATGAGTTTAGTTCTGCGACTGTTGGAGATTCACTGCAACGGTCTCTAATCTTTGAGTCACACATCCAATTGTAAACATAAAGACAGCTGAGTTGGGTCCATTTGGGGGAGAGAACAGGTGTCTTCTTCTCAGGAGGTCGTATTCGGATGTCGGTCAAGCAAAGCAAGGTTATCAGCTGAGGACCAGTCCAAGCTGCAACTGGTGCAGCATCAGTCTAAGGGAACAGAAAACTTTCCCATAGAGAGGGTGTTCTTCCTGAGTAATTTTTAGCCTCTACGTTCAGAAACCAGGCACAGTAGATGATTCCGGCATGTGAAAGGACGAATGCAACCAGTGAGTGTCGCTTTTCCTCTCTAAACAAGGCAGCCATCCCTGCTTGACGGACGGGTCTCCCTGCTCACTAGGGCTGCTGCTGATACTGCCCTTCCGTGGCCGTGTAGAAATCATCCAGGACACTCTGCAAGTAATCGAATGTCGGTCTCTCTTCTGCCTTTTCTTTCCAGCATATTTTCATAATTTCATAGAGCTCGTCTGGGCAACTCTCCACGCGAGGCATCCTGTAGCCCTGGGACAGGGCGGTCATCACATCAGCATTAGTTCTCCCTAAGGTGGGGGGGAGAAATAAACCATTTAGAAACCTGGCGGAGGGGGGGAAGCACTGCAGTGGTTGTTTTTTGCTCTTCATATCCTGCAACCAAGATGAAGGCAAGCTTTATTGAGGCTGTTATAGGTTGAATGGGGTCCTCCCCAAATCCACAGATTGAAGTCTAACCTGCACTGCCTCAGAATGTGACTGTACTATATATACTATGTATGGAGCTAAGGCCTTTAAAGGGCGTAATTAAATGAAAATGAGGTCACATGGGTGAGCCCTAATCCGATACAACTAGTATCCTTATAAGAAGAGGTGATTAGGACACAGGCTAGTACAGAGGAAAGACCATGTGGAGATACAGGCAGAAGGCGGCCGTCAGCAAGCCAAGGAGAGAGGCCTCAGGAGAAACCAAGTCTGCTGACCCCTTGACTTTGGACTTTCAACCTCCAGAATCATGAGAAAATCAATGTCTGTTGTTTAAACCATCAGGTCTGTGGTATTTGTTTTGGCAGTCCTAGCCAACTAATTCAGAGACTAGGGAAATTTCTGTAGGCAACTCAATAAGTAACTTTTAGTACAAAGAGGATAAAGAGAGCATTTGGTTTGCCAAAGCAAAAACAGGCACACATGGTAAGGAGAAGCCCAAGCACGTTCTCTTTAATAGGATATTGGACTTGCTTGACCTTTTAAATTAGCCTCTCAAACCCAATCTTAACCGCCTATCTCAATTACTTTTGCAGGGTAGATTCTTTTCAGCTTTTACTTAGTATATGTATCAAAAACATCATTTCTGAGCACATTTTTTTAAAATTGGCTTTTCATTGTAAATTTACTTGAAGTCAGCCAGACCAATGGACTATAGGCTTGCCAAATACTACAAACTCAGGAATAAATTTGGAAAAAAGTGATGGTTTAGATAATTGGAAGGACACCTGCCTGCAGCTTATGCTGCACCTCTTGTGGGAGTCATTGTCTTCAAAGAGCAAGATATCAATTGAGATGAAGAAAAACAAACCCAAATCAAAGCTCCTACATGAAGCTACTTCACATACTCATTAGTCATTAAACTGTCCCAGGCTTCAGTGCGAGGCCAGAGTCAAAGCTCCCAGGGACGCTGGCATTCACACGTTCTTAGTCGGGGAGATCTAAGGTGCTCATCATTCCTACCGAGCTGGATTTTTCCTGGAGGATGGTTTTGAATGTAGTCAAATGTCTCAGAGTAATTCAGAAGCTGAACTGTTAATCTTTGATCCAGAGAATAGCTTAGAAGGGGAATAAAGATCATTTTAATTGTAACATCCATTATTGAATGAGAATAGAGAAATGTGCTCACTTAGCAGTCTGAGCAGTACCCATCTACATCTGTATGTTTTGCGTTTCTGTGGATGCCTTATTCTGTGGGATGTGAGCTTCTCTAAAGAAAATTGTTTTGTTTCGTCTGAGTTGGAGTCTTACTCCATTGCCCAGGCTGGAGTGCAGTGGCACGCTCACAGCCACCCCAGCGTTGATCTGCCAGGCTCCGGCGACCCCTCTGCCTCCCCGAGTGCCCAGAACTACAGGTGCATGCTACTGTGCCTGGCTAATTTTTTTTTTATTTATTGTAGAGACGAGGTCTCACCAAGTTGCCAGGGCTGGTCTCAAACCCGCGGGCTCAGGCAATCCACTCGCCTCGGCCTCCCAAAGTGCTAAGATGACAGGCTGAGCCACCGCGCTTGGCCTGAAAACTGTATTTCATAAAGAATATATACGCTTTCTGGCATGAGAGAGGCACTCCATTCAACACAACTAATTCCCTTGCCATAGCTATCCCTTTGCATAGCTATAGAGTTTACCACCAGCAGTCACTGGAAAGATTCTAAATGGCAAGTAGTAGCTTTAGGGAAAACGGTTTCTACTAGATTTGAGACAGTTCTTTCTCTTGAATGTATTCTCTAATTAGTATTTTTCAAATTGTGGGTCACCACTCATTTGCGATCAATGCTTTTTTTTTTTTTTTAGGACACTACCAGTACTTTAAAAATGAATTATGACAGAATAAAATAGAAAAGGTCAGAAAGCACTGCACATAGTAAAGGTCAGTATCGTTTTGTGAAATTTTGCTTTATATATGGAGTGGGTTGCTGTATGTTCTTCACAATGGCTCAGAATTAGCGAATTGGAATCCCCTGCCTTTAACCTTTCTTTGTCTAAGCGGTCAATGATCCTTCCTGACTTTAAACTCCTGAAAGAAAACATGATTATTTCTTTTTTTTTTTTTTTTAGTTGGAGTCTCACTCTGTCGCCCAGACTGGAGTGCAGTGGCCGCTCCCAGCCACTGCAGCCTCGACCTGCTGGGCTCCGGCGATTCTTCCACCTCAGCCTTCCGAGTAGCCGGAATTACAGGTGTGCGCTACCACGCCCAGCTGATTTTTTTATTTTATTGTAGAGATGAGGTCTCACCTGCCCAGGCAAGTCTCGAACCCGCGGGCTCAGGCAATCCACTCACTCACCTCAGTCTCCCAAAGGCGCGGGATTACAGGCTGAGCCACCGAGCCCAGCTAGACATGATTATTTCTGTCTTGGAAGAGTGCTTGTTTTGAAATTGAAAGATTCAAGAAAACTTTATAATTATGCAGCTCTCTTGAGAGTTGCTTCTATGGTGAACTCATTTTTCTCAAGTCTGCTTTTGAAACACCTTCTTCAAATATCTGTGTCACTGAAATTTTCTAACTGGAAGACTTCATTGGATTCTGATTGCTTGAAGCCAGGGGCAGATTTGTGTCATGTTCTCTATTTGGGGTTTTAGTCTTCATGAAATTATGAGGCTTCAGCATTGCTCTGGCTCTTGTAACTAGCCAAGCTCACCTGGATACATCAGAAAAAATATCTGGGTTTACTTCTACTTCCTTGGGTGAAGTTTTGGGAGGATTAACATCCAGGATGATAGACACAGCAACTGGACCTGCAAACGTGCTTAGGGATATCTCTTTGACGTCCTTCCTGGAGCGCCTCCATTTGCATAAAAGGTCAGAATGTGCCCACAGGAGAGAAACCTTGCTAAGGTCACGCTATCCTCACTACAGATGTGTTCTTCCTTGTTCTTATATGTTTTTCTAACTCTGAAGAACTCTTTCCATGAAGCCGATAAAGGCCAGGCATGCTCTATCCAGCCTGGTGAATTTAACTTGGTAAGAGGAGTTGGAAGGCAAATGGGAAGTCTATCTTATTAGGTACAAATGAAGCAACAAGAAAAATAAGCTATTAAATGACAAGTCATCTGGAAGAAAGAGAGGGGGAGAGAGACCTCAACCACCCCCCAAGGGCACACTTGATTGTTGTTGGTGCTTGGCTTGTTGCTAGGTTAGAGAAAGCAAACACCTGTTCCTTAAAAGGCGAGCAATTTCACGTTCCATCCTTCCTCCTTTTGACAAGCACTTATCAGTGCTCACGATGGGTCATGAGCTGGCACTGGGCTCCGAGGGATAAAGAGATGCTTAAGACAGGGCACTGTCCTCAAATGTCACACAGCTCAAGGAGGGCGGTGCCCTCACTAGAGAGAGGTGGTGGGGAGCAGGAAGTGGCATCTGGAGTAGGATTCAGCAGAGACTAAAAGCTGGCAAAGGAGCACAGGAAGGAGAAAAACGTGGAACAGCAGAGACTAGAAAAGGAATGGGGTTAGTGACAGGGAGAGAAGGCCGGCAGCTCACAAACCATGGCATTCTCTAATGACACAGGGTCCCTCTGTGTGTGTAAGGAGAGCCAGCTACCCTGGGACAAACTATTTTTTTTCCCTGAGCTTTGTATGTGACCAAGGTGAGTATTTACAGCAGGATCGATTTCTCTGTTTGCTTTTTTTGAGTCAGGGTCTCACTCTGTCACCCAGATTGGAGTGCAGTGCCACGATCATGGCTCACCACAGCTTCAACCTCCTGGGCTCATGTGATCCTTCCATCTTAGCTTCCTGAGTAGCTGGACTACAGGTGCACACCACCACGCCTGGCTCATTTTTACAATTTTTTGTAGAAACAATGTCTCATTATGTTGCCCAGGCTGGCCTTGAACTCCTGGACTCAAGCAATCCTCTCTCCCCTCAGCCTCCCAAAGTGCTGGGATTACAGGCATGAGCCACTGCGCCTGGCCAGGATGAATTTATTGACTTCAATTCACACTTGGCATTAAGATGCCAGATAGATCCGATCAGAAACAACCAGAGAAGACAAAAGCCGTTTTCAAACCTCCTTTCTCTTTATATGAGCAAAGCAAAACCAAACCCCAACCACAGAGACACCTCTTTTTTCTTCATAAAATCCACAGGGCAATAATCACCATTTCGGGTTTAAGATAATGAAGCAAAGACTTTTTTGCCTTCTGTCTCCCTTTTTCCCTTATAGTTCATCCCCCAAACAAAAAAAGAGAAGAAGAAAGAGAAACTTAAACTCTGTCTCTGACGAAACAAGAGACACCTGGCAGCCAGAGGCAGAAGTGGTCTGAGCCAAAAGGAAGAAAGTGTAACCAACGTGCCTGCAGAGAGGGACACCAACAAAGGGTAGCACGTCCGGCCCACCCCAGCGAGCCCTGGGAAGGCCGGCACATCACGAGGGAGGGGAGGCCAGTGGCTGCAGACAGGACGGTTCCCCGGCCATTGAATTATCTGAGAATATTTTCTTTACCCAGTAAAGCACTGGATGTGTTGGTTTTTGTTTGTTTTTTAAAGTGCTTTAAAAGCCATATTGTCTAACTTTGCAAAATAAGGTGGAAATAAAAGAAAGGAGGGGCCCCTCCCACGGTGGGAGCTTTTCTGTCCTCTCAATAAATCCTGCTTTCTCAACTTGAAAAAAAAAAAAAGGAGAAACACAAAAAAGAAATAAGAAAGCCACATCTAAAGCGAACATATATTTTTAGAGAAAAGACTAAGAAGTGTAATATACCAAGCTGTTACCATCCTTGGGTAAAGAGATTAAAAAGTCATGTTAATTTTCTTCTTGATAAACTTCTGAAATTTCTCATTTTCTACAATCATATTTGACTAAATTTTTTATTCTTATACAAGTAATTTATGCACACTAAAAATTCAGATTGTAGACTGGGTGTCGTGATTCATGCCTGTAATCCCAGTACTTTGGGAGTCCCCTTTGTAGGGGGGCTGTAGAGTAGAAATGGCTGGTGATGTTCACCTGAGAGAACCCTATGGCTGGAGAGCAGGGTGGGGCACCTTCGCCTTATACCTCTTTGTGTGACTTGAATTTAAAACCATGTGGTTATCTTCTTATCCAAGAAGTAAAAGGGGTGAAAGCCTTATTCAAGAGTTAACATAAAAGTATATTTAGAACTATGAGCAGTCAATCCTAAATAATCAAAGTTACTGAAAGTAGATTTCTTTGAGGAGTACCCGCTGTCATGGGGTCCAGGTGGAAATTTTTCATTAGACGTCTTTTTACACAACCTCATTTCTTTTTTTTTTGAGTTGGAGTCTCACTTGGTCGCCCAGACTGGAGTGCAGCGGCCGCTCCCGGCCACCGCAGCCTTGCCTGCTGGGTTCCGGCGATCCTTCCGCCTCAGCCTTCCGAGTAGCCGGAATTACAGGCATGCACTACCACGCCCGCCTGATTTTTTTATTTATTGTAGAGATGAGGTCTCGTTGCCCAGGCGGGTCTCGAACGCGTGGGCTCAGGCCATCCACTCACCTCAGCCTCCCAAAGGCGCGGGGTGACAGGCTGAGCCACCGAGCCCGGCTCTCATTTCTTAAATTTTTAATTTTAAAGATGTGGGGTACAGGGTAACCTCCTCGGGTCCCCTCCTACTGTGAGAGATTTTTTGCCTACTCAATAAATCCTTCTTTCAAAAAAAAAAGATGTGGGGTACAATTCAGGGTTAGGTATATATAAACGTTCATTATGCAGATATCCTTGTTGATGAGGTGGGCCTTCCCTCCCCTGGCAGTTTCCCACTACTGCCAATCCTTTTCTTAAAGTATTATGATAATTGTTCAAGGTCCGCTTATGAGTGAGAACATGTGACATTCAGTTTTTTGTTTCTGTGATAGAACTCAGTATTATAGACTCTAAGTCCACCCAAGTTGCTGTGAAGTTCATAATTTTGTCTTTCTTTATGACTGCATAATATTCCATTGTGTATATGAACCACATTATTTTTTTATCCAGTCCTCTTTCAATGGACAGCACGACAACCTGGTTTTTTTTTTTTTTTTTTTGAGTTGAGGTCTCACTCTGCCACCCAGGCTGGAGTGCAGTGGCATAATCACGGCTCACTGCAGTCTCAACCTCCTGGGGTCCTGTGAACCTTCTGACTCAGCCTCCCAAGTAACTGGGACTACAGGTGCATGCCACCATGACGGGCTACTTCTTTTGATGTTTTTTTTTTTGTAGAGATGACGTCACTGTGTTGCCTAGGCTAGTCTCAAATGCCAAGTAATCCTCCCACCTTGGCCTCCCAAAGTACTGGGATTACAGGCATGAGTCATAACACCCAGTCAACAATCTGAATTTTTAGTGTGCATAAATTACTTGTATAAGAATAAAATATTTAGTCAAATATTATTGTAGAAAATGAGAAATTTCAGAAGTTTATCAAGAAGAAAATTAACATAACTTTTTATCTCTTTGCCCAAGGATGGTAACAGCTTGGTATATTACACTTCTTAGTCTTTTCTTTTCTCTAAAAATATATGTTCGCTTTACATGTGACTTTCTTATTTCTTTTTTGTGTTTCTCCTTTTTTTTTTTCTTTTTAAGTTGAGAAAGCAGGATTTATTGAGAGGACAGAAAAGCTCCCACAGTGGGAGGGGCCGCTCCTTTCTTTTATTTCCACCTTATTTTGCAAAGCTAGACAATATGGCTTTTAAAGCACTTTAAAAAACAAACAAAAAACCAACACATCCAGTGCTTTACTGGGTAAAGAAAATATTCTCAGATAATTCAATGGCCAGCGGAGTTCCTCCCATAAGTGGCTTTGTAATCAGTGGCAGAAAATGGCATATTTTGGCAATGTTCACCAATTTCTATGCTCTTTGTGAATCAAATCCTCTTATATTTAAGGCAATAGGGTTGCTTGGGTCTGCTCATAATTTCTAATGCTAGAGGCTCTTGTAACATACAATTCCTGTGGCTGGAAAATCTATTGATCCAGAACTCCCAAAGGTGTGTCACATCCCTGGTCCTTACAAGGGATGAGCCCACTGGGAACAGACAAGTCAATGGTTTCTGGTTGGTTCTACTATGTAGATATATGTACATATTTTGTGATTCTCACCCCTTTCCTACCGGTTCTTTTATATTTTGAAAATGATTTCCTACCCCCAGAATATTTCCAAATCCTGGACATTGAGCACAGTGGGTCATGGAAGGCACATGGGTCTGGGGCTCAGAGCAACTCTGCCACCAGCAAGGGGCCCAGTTGCCTTCTCTGAGCCTCAGGGACCGAGGCTGTACATCATTTGTAGCCTGTCAAATGTATTACACATTATTTTATGAGGTTACGTGGTGTCCGATTCGATTCATTATCTGAATATATCATCTTTCTCTACAGACAGATTATAGAAACAGACGCAGGCAAAGATAGAGATATATAGATATACAATGTCAGACATCAGCGCTGATCAGAAACATTTTTCCTACTTTGCAAGCAGTGTTCATTCATTCATTTCAGCGTCTAGAGCAGGGGTCAGTTAGAAAATGAAAGGCTGGCACAAGAGGGATTTCCTAGGACAGTCGGCCACTGTGCAAATACTACCCAGCGGCTTTTGGCTGCCAGTTGTCCCCGCCCCGGCTTCCCTGTGGCTCATTCCTACACAACAGCGGCAGTGATCTGAGCACACAGACCTTGTGACTCCTCTGTCCGGAAGCCTTTCCTGGCTTCCATCCCGGCAGAGGAAGACAGGACACTCTGACATGGCCACTAGGCTGTCCCTGAGCCACTCTGCCCCCAATTCCACAGCCTCCCACTTTCTCACACACAGCATGGAGACTACCTAGAGATTAAATGGCCATTTATTTATTCATTCATCAAACATTCACGGATGCCCAAACCAACACGCTGGCCTCCTGCCCCCATCGGCCCCTCCCATGCGCTGGCTGCACCTCCAGTGGGGACACGCAGCCCCCAGAGACCCTGGGGCACCCACCCCCTCACCTCTGAGCTTCTGCTGCTGCCAGGACCATTGGATACAACCAGCCACTGCCACCCTCTTCCTTGGGCACTCACCGATATCTAGGCTACTCCACGCACACGCCATGGTCTTCCTCGCTATCTTACAGGCTGAAGGAGTCCTCTCTTGGACACTTATCACTCTCTCCCTAGAAGAATATTCGCTCTAGAGCGCATGGGTGGCTACATAGCATCCCTAGTGCCTAGAGAGTGCCTGGCACACAAAGATTTTTTTTTTTAATAAGGGAATGATTTGCACATTAAACATTTAATTTTAAATTCATCTGATCGACAGATTTTGCTAAAAATCAGATATTAATGAGAATGTGAAGGCTTCAGAAGAAATCCCTCTTCTTAACCACCGCCGGCCCAAAAAAGGAAGGGATGGGCAGAATCTTGGTCTTCGAGCTTCGAGTGTTAGGAACCTGGAAATACTGAGTGATGCCCGTGTGTTAAGCAGTGGAAGGACCTTTTACTGATAAACAGAAGTGGCTGTTTCCTGAAGAGGCAGAGATTCCAGAGCACTTACTACAAAACCTCTGTTTCTCTTTTTAATGTTTTTTTTTTTGAGGTGGAGTCTCACTCTGTCGCCCAGACTGGAGTGCAGTGGCACCCTCCTGGCCACCGTAGCCTTGACCTGCTGGGCTTCAGCGATCCTTCCACCTCAGTCTTCCAAGTAGCTGAAACCACAGGTGCGCGCTACCATGCCTGGCTAATTTTTTATTTATTTTAGAGACGAGGTCTTACCAAGTTGCCCGGGAGGGTCTTGAACCCGTGGGCTCAGGCAATCCATTCGCCTCGGCCTCCCAAAGTGCTGGGATTACAGACTGAGTCACTGAGCCTGGACAAAACCTGCATTTCAAAGCTAACAAAGAAGCACTGAACATCCTCATCTCGATGTCTGTTTCCACTTCCTTGGAGAAACACCTGTGTCTTCTCTATCCTCATGACCTTAGTACCAATGATGAGGCCAGGAACACTATCAGCCTTAGGTGCTAGAATTATTTCGCGAAGATAAAGATATGCACTCAATAAAATAAGAAGGCAGAGAAGCATCTTAGCATATTTTAGAACAATTTCCACTAATGACAGTGAAAAATCGAGTTCTGGCACAAGCGCTTATTCCTCACTTTTGGATAGATGGAGTTACTACTATTTTTTAAATGCCTCCATGCCACTCGACTTTTCTCTCTTGTATACCACTTGAATGTAAACCACTTGAATGTAAATAGGTAAGTCAATGATACCTGGGTAGGGAATTTTCCCATAGGTGACGATTTCATACAGGAGAATTCCAAAGGACCACACGTCAGACTTAATAGTGAAACATCCAAAGTTGATGGCTTCTGGAGCTGTCCACTTAATAGGGAATTTAGCACCTGAGGAAGAAGACACATGATTCTTACTTGGGTACCTGAGCTTAAACAAATCATAAAAGCGTGACTCTCATAATTTCTTGATTTTAATGTTTTTAAAATTTTATTTATTTTGAATAGGTAACACATACACATAGTATAACATAGAGATGGTACAAACTATTCTACTAAAATATTTGACTTCTAGCCTCTGTTTCTCTTTTGTGTATGTATCCATCTCTTTAGAAGCAAAGTTTCTTGTATGTCCTTCTAGGGATATTATAACTAGCCAACTTTAAACAATAAAGAACATGATACAGAATGGAAAGAAATTTATTATTAGTGTGTACATCTGTCTCTCCATACCAGCCTCCAAAGCATGTCTTAAGTGTTCAGTTTTTCTCTAATGAACCCATACTATATTTACAGAAAATATAAATGTCTTTTTTTTTTTTCAATTTTTTGCAGTCAGGATCTTGCTATGTTGCCCAAGCTGGTCTCAAGCGATCCTCCCTCTTTCCACCTTAGCCTCCCAAAGTGCTGGGATTACAGGCGTGAGCCACCCCGGGCCTGGTCTGTAAATGCCTTTTAATGTTTTGTGGATAAATATCTTTATGCCTGTACCTACAGGAATTTCAGATGCTACTCAAAACTTGCATGTTGCATTCTTTCATTTGATAGGGCAAAACATCTCCAACCTTCAGGACTGGGTGGAAGGATGATCTGCGTAGAAGGAGCTAGTGAGGAAACTGTGTTTCTCACGGGGAGCTGGTGAGACCAAGGGATCAGGGACAGACCTGGCCCTGGGCGAGGTGCAGGGTCCCGGCAAGGAAAGTAGGGACTCAGGCTCAGACTGCTATTCCGGCACCCTAGAAAGGCTAGGGCTTCCACCAATTACCTGTTCAAAAATACCTCTGCCTTTATTATGTCTCCGCTTGAGATTTTCTTGGGGTGCCCAATCAAAACTGGAAATCCAAATCAGACCACCAAGGATGCCAGAGAGCTTCACGGGGTGGCTGCTTTGTGCCAGGCGACGTCACAGTCCTGCACTAAACCTGCCCAGGACAGCAGTGCGCAGGGCAGAGCAGGCAGGGCTGTGGCTGGGCGCTGGGCTTGGGCACCACACATCCGGGGCTTGAATCTCTGCTGTCTCCTGCTCCGTTTGACCCTAGCGAGTCACTTACTGTCTTTGTGCTTCCATGTGTAAAATGGGGAAACAATGGAACCTCCCCAGGTGGCTATGAGGATTAAGAGGGTTGCCAAATGTGCTTGGCACAGTGTAAATATCAAGGAAGCATGGTAATGGTAATGAGGGTGCCAATGAATAGTACTTACCAATGAAGGTAAGCATGGTTATTGTCACCCCAAGATAAGCCAGGAGACGGGGGCTGTTTGATCTAGAACCTGCATTCTCTGCACTAAGTCACGTTCTTTGCATGAGAACAGTTATTTGTGTGAGATTTGACTTGTGAAATCCAGCAAAACCAGTGGAATCAATTCTTGTTCACGTACTTTGAGGCTAGACCTCTTGGGTTTGAATCCTGGCTTTACTACTTACTGTGGAACCTCAAACAGTTGCAGAACCTTTCTTTCCTCCTCTGTAAGGTGGGAATAATAATGATAATATTAATGCCTATCATTTAGAGCTATCGTAAAGAAAAATGAAATAATGTATGAAAAGCCAATTTATGCACTAGGAATGCTTAATACATTTCGGCTTTGCTTCTTCTTTTTTCTTTTAAGTTTCTCATCTTCAAACTATTTTCCTTTGCCTGCATTTTTGCTGAGTATAATCATTAAGGTGAAGAATTCTTATCCTCAAGCACAGGCTTGGGGCAGAAGGGGAACCATCCAAGAAGGGCTGGAAGCAAGAGACGCTCAACAAATCAAAATAGTGTTTTCAATCTGTCCCCTCTGTGAGTCATGCGGATCTTCCAGAAATAACAAACATGAAGTTAGAAGAAAAAGAATCCTTGTTTAACAGTGCTTAGGAATGTCAAGAGAGGGCTTGTCTCTTTCGAAAGAAAGCGAGCACTGCGAAAATATTCACTCAATTACCAGAGGTGAGACCATCAGAATTCTCTAGTCATAAGTACCATGAGTGATCTGCCACAGGTAAGGCCGATGAAGCCCCGACCATGCTCAGACACCAGATGGTGGGCCAGGGACTGGGGAACTTATGCCTCTCTGTGTATGTAATACAGAATGTGGGAAAATGAAGGAGTGAATTTTTGTAGCATTATATTTTGTTCTCTATGTGTGATAATGTTCATGTTTTAATTTGTAATTAAATTTAACTTGTAATTAAAAGGCCAGACTAAAGAACACAGAATTAATTTATATTTTCTCCACAGTTAAGGGGAGTATGCTTCATTGAGTGAAAAGCTTTAATAATAACAAAGAATATTGATCTTGACTAATTTTATTTTTATTTTGCTTTGCTTAATTGAAATACAAATGACAGCATTTGTAAACCTTCAAAAAGGATAATGTAGAGCTAACCAAGGGAGTACTCTTCAAAAACTGTCCTTAGAATGGAACAGTAACAAAGCATCTAAAGATCATTACTAGAACGTACCTTCCCTTGCTGTGTATTCATTATCTTCGATTACTCTAGCAAGGCCAAAATCTGCAATTTTGCACATGAGTGACTCAGAGACCAGGACATTAGCCGCTCGGAGGTCCCGGTGAATGTAGTTCTTTCGTTCGATGTACGCCATTCCCTCTGCAATCTGAAGACAGGAAGAATCTCTTGTTTTCATATGCAAGGTAGGTGATTACAGAGTGCCATCAAGAAAAACCAGAAAACATATGAGCTCCTGAAGTCTTTTCGTGTACCCTGTTCTGATTATTTAAGTTTTAAAGATAATCATCATGAGCCCTTCATAAAATAACTGCCTCCCCAAATCTCCAATAATGGTAATCTTTTTTTTTTTAATAGCAACATGTCTCAACATTTTCTAATGTGATCTTTTTAAGATCCTATACAATTTTCCTGTGTTGATATACAGATGTCTTTGTCTTGGTTTTTCAAATGAGAAAACAAATGCTGTGGTCTGAATGTTTGTGTCTCCCCAAAGTTCTTATGTCGAAAAGTTACTCCCCAGGGTGATAGTATTAGGGGATGGGACCTGTGGGAGGTGATTAAGTCATGAGGATGGAGGTCTCGTGAATGGGATTAGTGCCCTCATAAAAGAAGCCCCAGAAGACTCTCTTGCCCTTCCACCATACAAGGACACAGAAAGAAGGTGCCATCTGTGAACCGGAAAACAGGGCCTCACCAGACACTTAATCTGCTGGCAACTTGATCCTGGACTTTTTGCCCCCAGAACTGTGAGAAATAAGCATCTATTGTTTAAGCCACCCAGACTACGGTATTTTGCTTTATACTGAACAGACCAAAACAATAGAGCAGGATTAAGCAACCTGTACAAAGCAATGACTGGGGTCTCAAGTACAGGATATCCTTGGTCAATAGCATCCTCTCTAGCAGGTTAATCAACAGCCCACAAAACTGGTTCTCCAAGTTTTCTCTGCACATTTCTTCCTGGATGATCAAAAGATTCACTCTGAGGACAAAGCGCGACAGCAGGAAAGAATCAAAGGTTTCAATGTAGGTGAGGTAAAACTACTACTCATTGCTTAATATTAAGAAAATGTGGCAGCATTCCGAAATCAGGTTTTTAAGGAAGACATTACCAAATTATAAAGTTAAGGAGAAAGAAGATACGAAGCAAAGAAGGAAGGAAGGCAGACAAGAAAACCAAGTAGTGGGCCAGGTACAGTGGCTCATGCCTGTAATCCCCATACTTTGGGAGGCTGAGGTGGGAGAATTACTCGAGCCCAGAAGTTCGAGACCAGCCTGGACAACATAGTGAGACCTCATCTCTACCAAAAAAAAAAAAAAAAAATTAGCCAGGTATGGCAGCATGCACCTCTTGGCCCAGCCATTTGGGAAACTGAGGTGGAAGAGCTCACCTGAGCCCAGGAGCTGGAGGTTGTGGTGAGCTGTGACTGAACCACTGCACTCCAGCCTGGGTGACAAAGTGAAACCCCAACTTAAAAAAAACCAAGTAGCAATTATCTGGTAAACAGTTCAAGAGAACTCTAATTGAAATATTTCACTTGGAATTAATGTATTCTGCTAGATTCTACCTTGAATTTGGGGTGGCTCACCTTGGAGGACCTGACTTTTCCTAGTCACCGGCAACAGCATCTCTGGTGATCACATAATTCAGACCCCGGGTCCATGCCATGTTGCTGAGCAAAAGATTAACTCCTTGGCTGGGTCTACCCTTTCTTTCCCTCTAGGTCAATGCCTAGGCTCAACTCCTGCCCAGTGAGCCTTACTTGAACTCCTCTTGGATAATTTCTCTTTACTCGCCCTAGATGATCAATCTGCACAAAAACCATCTGCAACTGCTGATCATCGCTTTGTCATTATTTTATGCTATTTAGTGTACTCAGTGTTGTCATGCAATCAGATGAGGCACACCTCCAGTGCTGACGCCACACCTTCTATTGTTTCCATTTTCAACCTTCTTCTCAGCCCCAAGCAAGCTGTTTGGAAAACGGACCAGGGTTTTCATATGACCAAGATACTGTGTTGCTAGCACCTTGCTGCAGGAATTCAGCAGATGACATTTTGGGGGTCACAAAATCTTGCATAAAACAATCAGTGCGTCCTACATCAGTCTCCAAGTCTAGCGAGCCCAGTATTTCACTTCGGAGGGGAAATGAGGACTGCTGTTCAAGCTCCTTGGCACTGCTGCCATGGCCCTTTGTGACCAGACTCCCACTTACCCCTCCCAACTCCTTATCACGACCACCTCCTTCCTGTGATTCTGTTCCTTCCACCCGATCTATTCAGCCCACAGGTCTCCGCTGCAATGTCACTTGAATAGGAAGCCCGGCCATGTGTGCGTCCCGAGCTCCCTGCTCCTCGACTGATCACCTCTGTCAGTGATCCCTGTAGCAATGTGAGCCTGATGGCAGGAGAAAGGCATGCACATGCCTGTATCCCAGCGCTGAGCCCAGGACGATGCGTGATGCCATGAAGACCTGTCCTCGTGAGGAATCTCAGAAGTGGGACAGGTGCTGGGCAGAGCAGAAGCCAGACCGATGGCAGGAAAAGGCCAGGACGGGTCTGACAGCAGTGACGGGCGTCTTGCCCTTGTCCAAGACTCACAAGTCTTTGGCATTTGGGAAACTCACGGCCCTTACCTGACTCTGGGAAATACTTGAAAGTCTCTATAAAAAGTCAACAGAGTGAGACTCCAACTCAAAAAAAAAACAAGGAAGTCAATAGAAGGGGGAAGTAGTAAGAGCCCAGGTGAGAGCAGAGCTCCTCTGAGTTTGTGACTTTCTCTAGGAAGACTGCAGTTCACAAATGGCAGAGTGTTATGTGGTAAGGATAGGATAGCTCATTCTAGAGCAGCATTACTGAAACAAGTGACATAATCATGTGGGCAATTCTGATGAAAGCTGGGAGATAGGAGCCATGCCTTAGTTTCCTTTTGTCTTTTGGTAACTCAAGTTCAAAAAGACGTATTAGAAAGAGCCAATAAAACTGAGAAAAGCAGCCGGGCTTGGTGGCTCAGCCTTTAATCCCGCGCCTTTGGGAGGCTGAGGTGAGTGGATTGCCTGAGCCCGCGGGTTCCAGACCCACCTGGGCGGCGAGACCTCATCTCTGCAATCAATCAAAAAAATCAGCCGGGCGTGGTAGCGCGTGCCCGTAATTCCGGCTACTCGGAAGGCTGAGGCGGAAGGATCGCCGGAGCCCAGCAGGTCGAGGCTGCAGTGGCCGGGAGCGGCCGCTGCACTCCAGTCTGGGTGACAGAGTGAGACTCCAACTCAAAAAAAAAAAATTTAAAAACATTAAAAATAAAATTCTTAATTTTGGAACATATCTGCCTAACATTCCAAAATTTATATATAAACTGGGCCAGGAACCCGAAAAAGTCGAAGTTGGCTGAAATCTCAATTAAAATTGACGATAGTACACTGGCTCCTCTCCCAGGGCAGCTGATGGGCAAGAAAGACGGGTGCTGGCGGCATGGATTCAGTCTCCCACACAGCAAGGACACATATTGCTCTCAGGCTCTGTAATGGCTTCTGGTAATCTGCTCTCAAGAAGCTTTTCGGGAACTTGTTAGCAAGGCTCATATCACACCTGCCCCCGTTCTACATTTGCATACAACTGAATGTATTTTTTCAAGTGATTCTCTGAAATAAAAACAGACTTGCAACTGGCATTGTTTATTTTGGCTTTCCTTTCCATGCCAGAGAGCTTTCAGAAGCTCAGAGTCCAAATAATAATAGTATTCCCTGGCCAGGCTCCATGGCTCAGCCTGTAATCCCAGCACTTTGGGAGGCTGAGGCGAGTGGATTGCCTAAGCCCGAGGGTTCAAGACCAGCCCGGACAACTTGGTGAGACCTCGTCTCAACAATAAATCAAAAAAATTAGCCGAGGTGTGGTAGTTCCAGCTACTTGGAAGGCTGAGGTGAAAGGATTGCCGGAGCCTAGCTGGTTGGCGCTGGGGTGGCCATGAGTGTGCCACTGCACTCCAGCTTGGGAGATAGAGTGAGACTCCAACTAAAAAAAAAATTCACCAAAACAAGACTCAAAATGATAGCATTAGTCAAGTTTAATAAATAATAGATAAGATATGGGAGCCCGCGCCTTGGGAGGCTGAGGTGAGTGGATTGCCTGAGCCCACGGGTTCGAGACCTGCCTGGGCAACTTGGTGAGCCCTCATCTCTACAATAAATCAAAAAATTAGCCGGGCGTGGTAGCGCGCGCCTGTAGTTCCAGCTACTTGGAAGGCTGAGGCGGAAGGATCACCGGAGCCCAGTAGGTCGAGGCTGCGGTGGCCGGGAGCGGCCACTGCACTCCAGTCTGGGCAACGGAGTGAGACTCCAACTCAAAAAAAAAAAAAAAAAGATATGGGAGCAAAATAAAAGCTCTCAGATATGACTTGCTTTTGAGATCATAAATATCACAACTCTCCTCTTATATGAACTTAGTTCATTCTCTTTATTCCTTCCCTGGTCTATCCTGTATTGCTCTTTCTTGGTTTCCTCTTTCTTTAAAACCTTAATTTTTTTATTTTTTGATTGGTGTATTGACGTGGCTAAAGTAAATCCAGCTGTATTTGGCAATAACAGGAAGAAATCAGAGACAGTTTGGCTCATTGAATCTAGGGCAACTTTTCCTGGAACACCTTCCTCCTCCCTGAGGGCCACTTAGCGTTCACCACCACAGAAAGAGCTGTCACATAAATACATTAAACCAAGGCTCAGCTGTCCCTAGAGACTTCCACTTCCTATCGTTCCAGTAGCTTGGAAAGGCTGATTTCTGTGGGAGTTAGATGGGGTTGGTCAGGTCTGATGAGAAGAACTGTTTGAGTCAGAAGATTGTTTTGTCATTTTGTTCCCAAAGATACTTTGCTAAGATGATAATGAGACAGTAAGTGAAGAGAGAAATAGATATTAATAACCACCATTCCCTCATCACTAGTTGAGCACTCACTATATACCAGATAATGCTTCACATCCCCTATACCTAATTCATGCTTCATTTTAATGACAAATTTATCAGGTAGATTTTACTTCTGTTGTACAGATGCAAATGAGGTTTACAGAAAATCAGAGGACCTGCCCAAAACCACAGAGTGAAGGAGCATGCCCAGATTTATACCAGATGTGTTCGACTTCAAAGATGTGTCTGATC